TTTAGGATAAATGAAAAACTGTGACGGGAATATTATTGTAATTCATGTAACTTATGACAACTTAGCCATTCGCAAATTTGAATTCCTAACTCAAAATTGTATAACTGGAGAAAAATATGTAAAGCTAAATAGATTTAAATTATCAGATCATTACCAAACGCATGTAAAAAGTTTAAAATATGGTTGGAAATATTCATAACAAATTCCTGATAAATATAAAGATATTAATATTGGTTAATTTCTCAAATAAGAGTTCAGAAACTCGAATAATCTTTACGATATTTCATTCACTTTTTACAGTCACATTTATGATTAGCCTCGACATCCTATTAACTCAAGATAAAAACCAACGTATTTTGAGCTCCATTAATTATAAATCGATGTTTTAACATATCCAGGATCCATATCGAAGACTTTTCCTCTTATGAAAACGAAGCCTCTTTCACCCATAAAAATATTTAAGTTTAAGTCAACACCTCAAACTCAGAAGCATTTACTTTTGTTTCAGATTTTACTCCTTATCAGTTTCTGAATAGGCGTAGAAAATTGTTATTATTTTTCCGATCTGTGAATGCATGAAGGAAAAATGACCCGGAATTTTCGTTTCTGTTGGAACTGGGACGCCATTCCGGAAGGCATTATAAAAAGCTTAACATTACGAGCGAACTTCAGTAATTGGTGAAAATTTTACGTCGTAAATGACGATTAAGTCTCGGTATCCTCGATGAAGATCATGAAAATCAGAAGCTGGGAATATATTTTCTATAATGGCAGGTTCACGCCAGGACTCCGGTCAACGACTTTCGATATGAGTGACTATTAGATTTCATGTTTGCCAATAGAGGTGATGAATAGGTTTAAATAATTGCAACATGAATAAAACTTTGGAGAAAGCATGTTTTCGTGAATTGTTATATCGTTCATTATTATTTATTCTCGATGTTACCTAATTTATCTAGCATATGAATTTATCTGAATAAATTTCTGAAGATATAACTGTTTTTTCTCAATTATTACATATATTAACATTGACTGAAGCAAATTACAAAGTACAGCAAAATAATCCAAACTTATATTCAAGGTTTCTTGAGTAATGGTTAATTTAAAAGGTGCATATCACAGTGATGGTAAAATCAAACTATAACAATAACTATGTCCGGTAATAATTTGAAGGTGACTATAGTTTATAGACAATTGAACGAAAATAGTTTATTCATTTCGGTTGCAAAAAAATTGGGAAAAGTTTTTGTGTGAATTTGATTTATTCAAATTCTCTGGCATTCGCCAAAATATCTTTTTTTATATGTGCGTAAAATTTACTCCATTCGGTTTGGTGAGGTGAAGCAAAAAATAATTGAAAATTTAGCCATCATATCATTATTATCTATTGAAAAATATGTGGTTGACATTAATTTAAGTGATTATTTATTTCACAACTTTTTCATTTTGATCGGAAAACTCATACTCAATTAAATAATTTTACTCAGAATTTACCCGTACTAGTTCTTCGTACAGATAACAATAAATTTATGCGAAAGCATCATAATTCATTTCTTCAAACTGATATTTTGAAATTTTACATTACCACGTTGAAAATTTATTTTAAACATTGCGAAATATGTTTTCTATTGAGCAGGAAATATTTCTAAACTTGTACATATGTGACTGCAGCAAATAGTTTAATTAAATTTTTGCAACTAAATATGATCTCAAAAATTCGAAAAATTTGGGATCATGCCTGGTTGCGGGGCTAGAAAAGTAATATATTCAAAATATGTTCACGTATATTTCACGGTTGCTTTTATGTAAACTTTGGTACAATTATTCAACATGTATTTTGAAATAGCAATTATTAAACCTTATATGTACAATAAGTTTCAGGTCCAGTTTAAATGAGTTGCGAATGTCAAACTGCTTCACGAGATGTGGCTACTTTTGTGTCATCAAGCGTTTTGGATATGATTTGTATATTAAATATTTCATACATGAGCAACTGTTAAACGCGAAGTATAATTTTTTATTAGGTATACTAAGAACTTGTCTCATTACGACGAACTCTGAAAACTCCCTCAACATAACCTAATTTTATTTCTATAGACACTATTATTTGTGTTAGAGATTATACATGAATTTTTATTTACAATTTATTATAAAAGGAGAATAATATCGGGAAATGATATGCGATAAATACGTTAGATGTGTCAACCTGGAATGTCAACCAAAGCGGAAGTGACGCGTTGAATGGCAATAATTCGTAATTTCTATTCCACTTTTCAATAAAACATTACACTATTTGTACTGTTATTGATATCATAACTTAAAATATTTTGACGCAAGATCCAATTCGCAACCCTATGAACGAATAAACACGTGACTTTGTGGCTGATGGAATGCGCATGTATGCGCTGAATAATCACGCAATGGTCTGCATGTCGAAGCGCATTATGATCAGCAAAGATTAATGACCTGTAAGATCATTAGCGTATATAATGATCCATAAGAAAGAACAGGTAATGATCCGCGTGATGGAACGCGTAATGATCCGTAAGAAGGAACAGGTAATGATCCGCGTGATGGAACGCGTGATGATCCGCAAGAAGGAACAGGTAATGATCAGTGTGATGGAACGCGTAATGATCCGCAAGAAGGAACATGAACTGATCCGCATAATATCGTGTAATGATCTGCATGATGAACCACGTAATAAACCGCAAGATGATCGAAATGCGCAATGATCCGCCTAATGGATGATCGAAAAAAGATTTCGTCATTATTTTAAACCAGGAGTCAGCCAAGGTTTGCAGAGCATACTCAATGGCTCCGTTATTTATTTAATCTCATTAGAAATTATTTTGCAAAAGACAAGGGCTTTATTATGAGAATATGCGAGGACATTTTTTCTTAGCCTGAAAATAAATAATTTCAGTTTTTTCATCTTAATAAAATAATCGGTGCGTGAGCCATGGTTAGTCATAGAATGGGGCTTAGTAACTGATGATGCAATAAAAAGTTTAAAAGGATATGGTTTGTCTATCAAGAACATGACACGTGTCAAGAACATGAACATATGAGGTGACATGATCTTGTACATATTATGAGTCAAAACCATGGATTGTAACTGGTGCAGTGGAGCTAGAAATGTTGAAGGAACGATGAAGTCACCAGAAAAATTAATAAAACTGGAGACGATGTTGACATTGCAGTGCCACCTGAGGAGGAGAACACGAGTCAGATAATTAGAAACACATTCAAATCAAAATTTTATTTCATTATTGTGAACTACGTCGTCCTTACTCAATAAATTGGCCAGTGAAATGGCAGCGAGCAAAGGCTTAATTTAATCTTCTTTTAATTACGTCAGCCTGTTCTAATCTTACAATTTAAATTGACTGTATACGTTGTATGACGAAACTAAATGATAAAAAAGCCAGCAAAGCCACAAATAATATTTGCATATTCCGCAATATTGAAACTGCGGTGTCAGAACAATTGACGTACAATATATCAGTCAAATCACGCAGACCTTCTACTCGTTAAATTAAAACAGTCAAACTTTTCAACTTCCGCTCAATCTCACCGAATAAGCGGAACTCGGGTTTCTGTCTGAATTGTTCGGGAACATCAACGTTGAGTTTAACTTCGGAGTTTTTCCAATAGAGATCACGAACTGAAGCCGAACATCGAACTGTGACGTAGCCTTTGCGCGCAACGGAAAGAGTTGTGCGCAACCGTAGAGTTTGTGACACCGAGTACAGCTTCGTCACGTTGTTTAGCTGCACGAGCGGCTCGTGGAGGAGAGATGGGTCAACCTGTGTGAAATTAATTGATGATTTATATAATATTTCTGGAATTTTCAAAAATATTATTAAATTTTATGGTCAAGATGGTTTAATTAATTTTATGGTTTTACTTTTGAAAGAGCAGGTACTTCCGTTGGTCTGCCTTTTAGGAACTAAGATTTAGAGTATTACTGCAAGAAAATAACGATGTTAATAGAAAATAAATTTTGACAGGATATAAACCTTGTTTCGCGTTACCTGTTTGTCTTGGAAATTTTGCTATTTAATGTAGCTGCGCTTAGAAGTTCAAGTTTTTATTGCACTGATTGATAAGAGGTTTGTAAAGGCAAGAAAGGTTTACCGGAATGCCTCCTAAACGTATATTGTCAATGACTTAAGCAGATATTTGGATTGCAACTGATGCAGTCCGGTATATAACCGATATTTTAATTTTGACATAAACAAATGACTTTGATTCAGTGAGCACATTGATTGAAATAGCGGAAAATATAAGAAGAAATTATTCTGCATAAATATGAAAGTTATAAACGCTACAACTGCTCAATTTGAACCAAAAGTAATGCACAAATGCACAGAGAAATTTTCTAGAAAAATGCATAAGTAAATAACTACTTCATTTTGACCTCAATTTTTACCTCAATTGAATATTATGGGAAATTTTTAGTACCCATAATCACTGTCTAATTAAAACGATCATTGTATAATAATAATAATGATGATTGTTTAAAACGAGCCCTGTTCATATGCCGTGACCACATACAGCAGCGTAGCCGACTTCTTCTTCACTTGTGTTGCTCATGTCGGCCTAACCGGTCTTGGTTCCGCTTAATTTTTATTTTATTTTATTAGCTTCCTTATCTTTAGAAGACTTAGTATAAGTGAATGTATTTGACTTTATTTAACCTTGAAGTTTGAATCTGGGTGCGTAAATATGCATAATAATATATGTCTAATAGAAGCAGCACTACTCAATTTGATCATGTGCCTATTCTTCTATTCATATGGTCTCTATCCATTTTTGGCAACTTAGCAACCTGTTCACGCACTTTCAACTATTTTATAACTATCCATATTCAATTTTAACTAACTAGTTATATTCGGGCCTCGGATTTGACTACATCATATTTTGCTTGCATCATATCATATCCGACGTCTGTCGTCCTGTCATCCGACGTCTGTCGTCCTGTCATTTGAGTCAAAACCATGGATTGTAACTGGTGCAGTGGAGCTAGAAATGTTGAAGGAACGATGAAGTCACCAGAAAAATTAATAAAACTGGAGACGATGTTGACATTGCGGTGCCACCTGGGGACGAGAACACGAGTCAGATAATTAGGAACACATTCAAATCAAAATTTTATTTTATTATTGTGAGCTACGTCGTCCTTACTCAATAAATTGGCCAGTGAAATAGCAGCGAGCAAAGGCTTAATTTAATCTTCTTTTAATTACGTCAGCCTGTTCTAATCTTACTATCTACAATTGACTGTATGCGTTGTATAACGAAACTAAATGAAAAAAATATAACTCAGTACTCACTGCAGTGAGTGACAGAGAGCGCATTTTCTCGTCGACGAAAACTTGAGGTCACGGACAGACGGACGGACAGACGGACGGACAGACGGACAGACAGACAGACAGACAGACAGACAGATAGACAGACAGACAGACAGACAGACAGACAGACAGACAGACAGGCAGACAGACAGACGGACATGGCGAGCACAATAGTGCATTTTTTCCATAAATGAGATATTGCGCTAAAAATGCCAGCTAAGCAACAAGAAACATTTGCATATTCCGCAATATTGAAACTGAGGTTTCAGAACAATTGACGTACAATATATCAGTCAAATCACGCAGACCTTCTACTCGTTAAATTAAAGCAGTCAAACTTTTCAACTTCCGCTCAATCTCACCGAATAAGTGGAACTCGGGTTTCTGTCTGAATTGTTCGGGAACATCAACGTTGAGTTTAACTTCGGAGTTTTTCCAATAGAGATCACGAACTGAAGCCGAGCATCGAACAGTGACGTAGCCTTTGCGTGCAACGGAAAGAGTTGTACGCAACCGTAGAGTTTGTGACACCGAGTACAGCTTCGTCACGTTGTTTAGCTGCACGAGCGGCTCGTGGAGGAGAGATGGGTCAACCTGTGTGAAATTAATTGATGATTTATATAATGTTTATGGAATTTACAAAAATGAAATTATATTTCATGGTTAAGATAATAAGAGTTTTGTTTTTGAAAGAGGAGGTACTTCTGTTAGTCTGCCCTTTAGGAAATAAGCTTTAGAGTATTATTCGAAGAAAATAACGATGTATTCAAAATTTTGACAGGATATAAGCCTTGTTTTGCGTTACCTGTTTGTCTTGGAAATTTTACCATTTAATATAGCTGCGCTTAGAAGTTCAGGTTTTTATTGCACTGATTGATAAAAGGTCTGTAAAGGCAAGAAAGGTTTACCGGAATGCTTCCTAAACGTAGATTATCAATGACTTCAGTGCAGGTATATAACCAGGATTTTAACTGTGCAGGATTGCAACTGGTGCAGTCCGGTATATAACCGATATTTTAATTTTCCCATAAACAAACGACTTTGATTCTGTGAGCAATTTGCTTGAAATAGCGGACAATATTAGAAGAAATTATGCTGCATAAATTTACAATTTATAAACGCTATAACTGCTATATCGATCGGAACCAAAAGTAAAATACACAAATGCACAGTGAAAATATCGAGAAATTCGCGAAAGGAAAATAACTACTACATTTTGACCTCAATTTTTACCTCAATTGAATATTATGAAAAATTTTCAGTACCCATAATAATTGTCTAAATCGATACAAATAATAAAAATACCTATAATAATTGTCTAAAATGATCCCTGTTTATTAGACGTGACCACATGCAGCGGCGTAGCCGACTTCTGTCAGTCGCGTCTCCAGCTTCATTTGTGTTGCAGAAGTCGGCCTAACCGGTCACGGTTTTCTTATTTCCTTAGCATTAGAAACCTTAGTTTACGTGTATGTATTTAACCTTGAAATTTGAATCTGTTGTGCGCAAACAGGTTCTGCCACTGCCCAGAACCTGTTTGCTGACGGACGGGTGTACCATACAAGACGAGAACCTAGCACTATAGGTTCAAGCCTCAATGTATTCGCGCCAGTTATTTTAATAAATACTTGACGGTTTGTCTCGTATTTTCTCCCAACATTTAGACTTGAATCGGACGCCCAGAAATGGATCGTATGCCAGAGTTTCCCGGGTTTTGTTAATAATCATCAAATATTCTAAAGAAAAATAATAATGATAATATATAATAATACCTTCTCATTGTTGACGCGGAACTCAAGCTCAGGTTTGGGCAGAGCGGGGGGCGACGAGCAGGTGATGAGGGCGGGGGAGTTGAGGGGATACAAGCCAGCGACGCCAGTGAGGGTAGGGGGGTCTGAGGGCACAACTGAGGGAAGGGAGGGTGAATATCTTTGAATTAATAAATAATTTAACCATAACCTGGTTTAAATCAAAAGTTAATCAAGAGTTAACAAGCAAGTGAAACTCAAAATAAATAATTATCTTCGTAGAATGAGAATGTGAGAGTACTCGGCATTCCATTAGCGATAAAATTCTAAGTTATGTTGAATCATATTTTTCAATAACGAGTATATGATACATAGTTTCCAGATGCAAACTAAACGAAAGTGAAGTTCAAAATATTTACGCATGATATGTAAATTTCACAAACGATATGAGTGTTAATGAACTGTCATATGCACCAGTAAAATAATTGTCCATTAGTAGAGGTACACTAATAATTGACTTGCTATACTGATGAGCGAACGAATTCAGGAAAATTAACTTAAAATAAGTGAAGATCCGTGTTGCTTTTCTTCTTGATTCAACTGCGATCGGAGGTTGCAAAGTGTTATCTTCAATAAGGACGAGGTACAATCAAATATTACGTATGTATATTTTTTTGAGTATCATGAGCATTATAATATACAATGTATTGTTGGTATACCAAAGTTGATCTTTACTGAGCATCAGAAGAAATCAAAGGTTTCCAAATGCCGTAAGTTAATTTTTTCCTAACATCAAAAGAAATTTAATATTTAAATAAGTCGATGTTTTGAGAACGATCAAAGATTGTAAAATACCGTAAGTCACTGTTTCTGCTATCCAGAGCAACAAAACATTTCACTATTACTTAAAGCGAATTTTTTTAGTATCAGGAGCAATCAAAGATTGCAAGATGTCGTAAGTCGTCCCGCAAAAAGCCTCGCGTCTGCCAAAAACATCGCCGGAAGGAGCACCAAAAATACCAGCAAAAAAAATCCAGTCGAGCTGTCGTCGCTGAGCAAGAAATTGATAGCGCGGCAGCAGGCCTGATGGAGGCTGTGTAAAAACGGACTCAGGTGCAAATGTTCGCTACAGGAAATTACGATAAATGCTAAGAATATTATTAAATAATTTAAATTTTATTTTCTGTAATGAAACGATTGATACTATGAATATATTTTATGCAGTGTACTATATTTTTTATGGGGGTGATCACTGGAGTATAATTGATAATTGCTAAGGATGATTTTTTTAATATTTAGAAGATATTGAACACTTTTTATGATTGGTTGATTTGATGGAATTGAAAATTTAAATTGATTACATTGATTTTACGGAGAATCATTTTATGTTATGCAATACAGCCCATATAATCATGTCAGGAAAAGTGATATAATCATGTCAGGAAACTATTTTAGTTATTTTGTTCAGTCTTTCGTCTGAAATTAATTCTCACAATTCAAACACTCACTGTCGTCATGGTTGCCCCACAATAAAATCTATCCCCAATCCTCCCGTGAAAGCAAACATTCTTCCCAAAACACTTAATTATTCTCCATAAGGCCACATTACTGCATTCAAAAATATTGTGCATCATCTGAAATGACACAAAATTAGCCAAGAGTTATATTATACCTGAATTATCTTCACTTCTCGGCCAAAAAGAAATTCTATAAATTACTAAAATGCTCACCGGCGACCTCCATCTTGGCCCACTGTTCGTCCGTCTGGAAGTACGGAGCTTCGCCGGAAATCTCGCATCTGAGCGGCGCGTCGCCGGCGCCAAGCTGCACAGCCTTGACCACCACGCGTCCTTTGCCGGACCGACTCTTGTCCACCGTGAACACCGACTCTCTTGCCGGACCGACTCTTGTTCACCGTGAACACCGACTCAGGGATCGGGAACACCTGCAGAACATCATCGGAACAATCTAGAACATCACCACCACGCGCCCTCTACCGGACCGACTCTTGTCCACCGTGAACACCGACTCAGGGATCAGGAAATCCTTAAAAAAATCGTCGAAGAAGACCTGTTGAATATTATCGGAACAATATAGATTCAGGAATCACAAAATGCACACTTCTTAGGGTATAGAACAGTTCCATTATGATGTATTGTCACAGGGTATATTTCTGAAAGGAAAGAAAAACGCTTTTCGGCAGTTATAGAAAAAGAAATAATTGATTTCTTTCGTTCATTACCTATTAAAACGATGTGTCATGATCCATTCGGTTCGTATTGTTGGAAAAAATGAAAAATAATCTACTGAAGTCATGAAATCAGAATAATAGGAGGCAGAAAATTTATATGGTCAGAAATTCGGAAGATATTTTGTATATTCACTGGATATTTAATGACCCTGACCCTGGTTTGAAGCTACAGCGACTCTGCAATACACAAAACTTAAACTTTTCTGCAACTTTCAATCAAATAATTTTTAGAATTAACAAAATTGAGGAAATATGCGGTTAAAATTGATATAAGCTGCTATTTACTTTAACACCAATCTTGAGAATTTATTAACAAAAAACTCAATGAAAAGTATACAAGTATTTCAAACAATTCTCATAAAATTCAGTTGAACGCGGTATTCAAGAAGAAACTACGAGCTACAAAAATCAGGTTAAATAATTTTAGGCATTAAAGAACCAGCTCAACAATGAGGCCCTGACATTGCACACGCGTTCCATCGGAAATAAAAGTCTGAAGGACAGCCAAGGATCTATAACGGCCCGTTTTCGATTATTTTATGACAGCTCGGAGATGTTAAGACAACAAAACGCCTATTGCTGCAATCTGGTGGCCATGTAACTGCATGGACTTGTATTCTTGAATGTAAAATTCAACTTTTAAACAATTACACTAGCTTATTTTTTTCTGTGGAGAGTTTTGTTATTGTTTTCCTTTTATTTCCAACAGTAGATTTTTTGTTTCTATTGTTGAGTTCTTTATTTTCAATGTTAAACACATTAAACGATACAACTGTAAACTGTTAAACTGTTAAACGATACAACTGTAATATTATTTCTACAATGATTGGTCCTACAGTGTGATATTGTTACTAAAAAACAATTGCAAACAACACAAAAAAAAAAACATAATTTGCAGCGCCAATGGGGAAAGTGATGGAAATAAAAATATTCAAGCAAGAAAGAAAAAATTGAGAGACGGAAAAATGGAATGATAAGGGATAAATGTGCATGAAAATGTTGGAACAATATAGTGTAAAAGTTTGACGCCACTTTTTTTGAGAAATATTTATTTGGCTATAATTTTTTAAAGCTTAATCTCAATTTCGCAAGAGTCAATCGTATTCCTTGCCAGCCATCTAAAACAAATTATCGTTAAAAGTAACAGAGTAACTTGAACTATTCTAAAATATCTCGCTATCAAGTCAAAAATAGGCAAATAACGACGGTTGTTGACTAAAGCAAATTTATTCATGAAAAATAAATGGACTCAAATCAAACCAGGGGCAAAGTTTCCAGTGTCGATGTTAAATGATTTTTACTCTTTAATTTTTTATCCCCTGACATGCCATGGGCTCACATCCGTCCGAAAAATATCATTTCAATTCAATTATTCAACTTTGTTGCAAAGTCTCTCACTTCTGGAAGGTCTCCACGCTTTTAACTGAGCATTTAAAGTTGGGGATAGAAGTGATCTCACCGTAAAAATTCTCCAATTTGTAAAACAGGGCGGAGAAAGAGCCCTAAAGCTCTATGGGTCGGCTGCGTATGCAAATGCATGTCTCGTGACGACTAACGCCATTCGTCAATGACATGCAGGAGCTAGGCCTGAAGAAGAGAAAACGATGGCCGAAAAGAAAACGATTTCAGGGTTTCTTCGGCAACCCTGTAGAACTCCACGAGTCCAAAGTAGCGCTCTGCTGACTAAAGTGCAGCGCAAATGGTTACTTTTGCCTCAATGTTTCATGAGCTGAGGAAAAGAACAGACTTGAGAACTTGTAATAGAGCTGGAAGGCAGATGAAGACGCCATTTTTCCAGCTCGGTCATTTTGCAGTTCTTCGAAAAGGGTTCTTTTCGGCGGAGGTGAAATCGGCACGCCCATCTCACAGTGACTTTTAGTGCCTTCGCAATGGGTGGAAGAAAAATATACAGCTTTGCTGCTGGGAAGCTTGGGAGGAATAATTCTGAAATACTGATGGTAGTTAGTTATTATTCTAGTGACACAAACTTTGAATATTAATAAGTAATATTTTACGTGGAATCGGAACTCGCTGGAGGAGTAATGAACGACATCGCGCCAATTTGAGTTCTTGCCTCTTCTATTATTATATATTATATCTTATTTAATCATTAAATTTTTTCAATTGTTTCGGTTCGTTGAGGAAATCTTTGTCAATAAAATAGAATTTCGAATTAATTAAGTGGCTTTAATATATAAAAACAAATAGAGAGTCAATATTATGTAACTCGTAATTTTCGAAAGGGTTAATTTAAATAAATGCTTTGAAACCTCACTTTAATGTGTAATGAACAGAATAATAATGAATAACGAATACAAATAATGCATCTGTATTATTCAATTGCTTATTAGTGGAAAGCGTGTTATTAACAATTGATAAAAAGCTCAATCTATTCTAAAGTGAATTGAATAATAGTGAATAGTGAACTAATTTTTATTATGCACTATCAGATTACTAATCTTTATTATACTGCTTATTTGTAAAACCTTGGATTAATAAGATTGCCTTCCAATATCACTTTCTTTTAGAGTAAATGAAAGTATAATTAATTCACATTAATCTGTATGCTGCAACTACTGATTTGTAAAACAGTGGATTAATAAGAATCCATCGTAGCTTCACTAACTTCTCAAATTAATAATATTGAATAATGAATGCTCCTCAACCAAATAATGAATAGTGAACTTTAATAGCAGCAATAGCGCTGCTTGTATCAGAATATAATAATAATGAATACTCCTCAATCAAACTTAGTATGAACTTTAATAGTGAACTTTAATAGCAGCAATAGCGCTGTTTGTTTAGAAATATAATAATAATGAATTCTCCTCAACCAAACAATAAATAGTGAACTTTAATTAGCAATAGCACTGTTGCATCGGAATATAATAATAATGAATACACCTTAACCAAACAATGAATAGTGAACTTTAATAGCAGCAATAGCGCTGTTTGTAGCGGCCAGCTTAATTGAAGTGAGTTACTCAGCTCAGAGTTCAGGAGTTACGCGCTCGTGACTGGCATGCGCAGTGCAAACAATTGAGCATCGGGCTCTCTAAGATCTCTTAACTGTTCAGGACTCAATTAAAACTTCTGTTCTGACCCGCGCTCTTACCAGTAGCTTGCTTGTGAAGCTTATTGGGAAAATCTGATAATGTTACTGAGCTTATAAATGTGTTGGGAGTATTTTTAGCTCATTTTCTCAATTATGAAAAAAAGGTGCTATTGTGCTCGCCATGTCCGTCAGTCCGTTTGTCCGTCTGTCTGTCCGTCTGTCTGTCTGTCCGTCCGTGACTTCACATTTTCGTCGACGAGAAAATGCGCTCTCTGTCACTCACTGCAGTGAGTACTGAGTTATATTTTTTTGTCTGTTCCAGTTTTGAATTTTCGGATAGCAAACAAGATGAGATTTCAAATGTTAACAATTCATGCAATTTTGATCAACATGAATGTTATTTTGGCCGTATCAGTGTTGAATATTTCGGTACATTTAGTTGATGCAATCAAAGTAGAAATTTCCAAATTTATCACAATATGTGTACAAAAATCTACATAACTCTTAACGTTCAAAGAAGGCTAATATTTTAAATCGAAAAAAATAATTGGGTAGAAAAAATCACGGTCTGCTTGTAACGCCACTTCATGTTCTTTTACTTGCATGTAAATGTTTTAGTCAAAATAGAAAATATGCGAACTTAATCATTATTCAGAATGTAACGGCCTATCATCAACTAACTTTAACTGATGTGGCGTTCACTAAAAATATGTTTTAGTTACTTGATTTACGAAAATTGTTAAAGTTAATTTTCACAAAGTCATGGCTTCTGAAATGCAAACCACGGTATGCTTACATTAAATCCACTAATGGCAATGTGCCTTAGTATTCCAATGAATATGTGAGGCGATAAAAACGATGGGAATAATGTATTTATTTTGTATAAAAAATTTACTGAAAATTGAACTCTTGATTCACCATTATCTTGTATTTTTTCCTTCCAATTAAAGCATTCCCCATGGCCTCCGTGAACTGCATTAAAAATGAACTGCACTACGAAGTTCTTATTGGCCAATCAAGGCAAGTCAAGCAAGCCTAAGAAATATCGTTTATTAGAAGAGTGTTGTTATTTCTTGCGGTAAAATCTAATATTTGTCTTTCCAAAAATATTGTAAACGGTGAAGCAACATGTCCATGATGTCATGAGGTTCTTGGCTTGCGTATGAGATGTTGTGACCTGCAAGTGACTCGATGTTCTGAAATTCTTGGGTCAATGTCCTAGAAAGTTCTGACCTAACGATGGGCTTCTGCATGACTTCGTTGAAAGAAGTCTTTTGGGTTCTGCAAGAATAGTTTTTGGTTCTGCAAGACTTTTGAGCGGCAAAAGACCAGGTTCTGCAAGACTTTAGACCTGTAGAAGACCAAGTTCTGCAAGACTTTAGACCTGCACAAGACCAGGTTCTGCAAGACTTCTAACTTGCAAAAGACGGGGTTCTGCAAAGTTCTTGACCTCCTGTAGGCGGGGTTCTAGGAGATTCCCTACCTGCACAAGGCGAGGTTCTATAAGAGTTCTCACCTGCATGGAGGCGAGGTTCTATAAGAGTTCTCACCTGCATGGGGCGAGGTTCTATAAGAGTTCTTACCTGCATGGGGCGAGGTTCTATAAGAGTTCTCACCTGCATGGGGCGAGGTTCTATAAGAGTTCTCACCTGCATGGGGCGAGGTTCTATAAGAGTTCTCACCTGCATGGGGCGAGGTTCTATAAGAGTTCTCACCTGCATGGGGCGAGGTTCTATAAGAGTTCTCACCTGCATGGGGCGAGGTTCTATAAGAGTTCTCACCTGCATGGGGCGAGGTTCTATAAGAGTTCTCACCTGCATGGGGCGAGGTTCTATAAGAGTTCTCACCTGCATGGGGCGAGGTTCTATAAGAGTTCTCACCTGCATGGGGCGAGGTTCTATAAGAGTTCTCACCTGCATGGGGCGAGGTTCTATAAGAGTTCTCACCTGCATGGGGCGAGGTTCTATAAGAGTTCTCACCTGCATGGGGCGAGGTTCTATAAGAGTTCTCACCTGCATGGGGCGAGGTTCTATAAGAGTTCTCACCTGCATGGGGCGAGGTTCTATAAGAGTTCTCACCTGCATGGGGCGAGGTTCTATAAGAGTTCTCANTAGGGGAGATAAGGTGAACTTAGGGGAGATAAGGTGAACTTAGGGGAGATAAGGTGAACTTAGGGGAGATAAGGTGAACTTAGGGGAGATAAGGTGAGCTTAGGGGAAAGGTGAACTTAGGGGAGATAAGGTGAGCTTAGGGGAGATAAGGTGAACTTAGGGGAGATAAGGTGGACTTAGGGGAGATAAGGTGAGCTTAGTGGAGATAAGTTGACCTTAGAGGAGATAAGGTGAACTTTGGGGAGATATGGTGAACGTAGGGGGAGATAAGTTGAACTTAGGGGAGATATGGTGAACTTAGGGGAGATATGGTGAACTTAGGGGGAGATAAGGTGAACTTAGGGGAGATAAGGTGACCTTAGAAGAGATATGGTGAACTTAGGGGGAGATAAGGTGAACTTAGGGGAGAAAAGGTGAACTTAGGGGGAGATAAGGAGAATTTAGTGGAGATAAGGTGAACTTAGGGGAGATAAGGTGAACTTAGGGGAGACGAGGTGAACTTAGCTTTGAGAAGGTGATCTTGATGTGATAGCATGAACTTAGAGGTGATAAGGTGAGCAAAGAGTTGATGATTTGATTTAATATTGGATATGTTTGTCAAATGAGCGGAGATAATGGTAATTTAGGTTATTTATGGTAAAATTAATGTAGATAAGTTTAAGGTAGATAATGTAGCAGTCGATGAAAGGAGCTGAGAGTAACACGGACTGAAAACATTTACAAAAAATGTCTTGAAAATGTTTTCATAAATGGTTTTTAAGGTAGGAAAGTCCTCAAATGGTCCACTGGACCTATAAATGATCATAAAACTCCAGAAGGATAATCATACTGGGCCACAAAATGATTTTTCTGAAATGAAGTTTTTGACTGAGTGAAGTCAAAACTTTGCTCAGGTTTGGCCTATTTAATGATCCAGGAAGTGGTCTCGATATTGGTCCCACGAAATCCTATCCAACTTGCTCCAAATGGTCCCTATTTTTTTCATGGTAGGTACCAAAAATAATTATATGAAAGGTTTCCGAGCTTTCCTATAAACGGTCCCAAAAATGGCCGAGTAACTTCCTCAGAAATGTTTGCAAAACATTTTAAACAATTTTCAAAAATGGGCCATGAACAAAAATTTTTTAAACTTTTGTCCCGAAAACTTGCCTAAATTATAGTCCTATTTTATACCCAAAAATTGCACCATAAAATGCCGCAGAATTAGCCCATAATATAACTAGCCGCAGAAATAGGCCCACAGTTCGTTGACCCCAGTTGCGGTTTGCAGGGTGACACATGAATGCATTTCCCTCGTAGTGCTGACGATGTTATAAGTAGAATTTTCCGTCGTTTTATGATCTTTTTTTTTAATTTTAAATATTAATTGACGCTTATATCGCTAGATTTTAATATCGCACTCCAATTTCAATGGATACTATTATAATTGGCTTATGACATTAAAGTTAAAGTTTCATTCATAACTTTTGCAATTCTTTACGCTTCAAAAAACATTTTATCTGAGTTCTTTTCTTTACTTCTTCCGCTATTCTTATTCAACGAAGCGGATAATTCAAAATTCAAGTTTCTTCCATGGCCTGCCGACCGTAGGCCGTGGATATGTAATGATCAGGTATCTAATGCCTGATCTAAAGTTAACGAAATACACTCGAGGTTAGTGAGATGCTTAGCTGAAATACGGCAATCCAGTTTTATTGTTTTCGGTAACAGAGCTGGTGATGAACTGAACTTGAACATAAAATTTATCTAACCAGGTTGACAAATAAATGAGCCTATTTCTTCAGTGGACCAAATCCAGAAGTAAGGAAGATTGCTACAGAGTCTCGATCCATGATTGCAAAAATAAATGAGCCTATTTCTTCAGTGGACCAAATCCAGAAGTAAGGATGGTTGCTACAGACACTCGATCCATGAGTGCAAATGCCGGCAAAGCTCTTCCATCAGGACATTATTCGCTCGCCGATGACAGCGATTACGATCGAGATTTGTGGATATGTGCGTGATCCTCGAGTGCCTTAAGGATGGGGGAAACAAGCCATTGCTTTCAGGAGTGGAATGACGGAATATGGCTCAGCGCAATGTTGGAGCTTAGATTTCTGTTTAATTTAATTATTTTCACTATTATGCTTTTTCGTAGATGCTTCAATTAATAAATAACAGTCGTTAGATTAAGTGCCAAATAAATGAATTTCCTGCAGCTAAATTGCCTACTAGCATAAGTGCGAAATCTTGCCGAACATGGCAGTATTCAAATAAGTCTAACTGCACAAATTGCTATATCTTCTCTTGCATTTCCGCCCGTTTTATTGATAGTTTGTCGTTTCCTTCAGCATCAGTCGCCTCCTTCATCGGAATTCCACTGCACTCATGCATGCGCTCAGCTTTGGTCGTTGCCAAAGAACTCGGCAATGCCCCGCGTTGTTGAAGGCTTCAGCCCTCCATTGCCGGTACTTCCGCCTCCGCTGCCGATGTTTAGCTCGCTGCAAATGCTCGGTGAGTGAGAGATTTGCATAGTAGAGATTCCCAGGAGCGAGATATCAGTCGGTTATTGAGAGATTNGTAAAAGCATGATATGTAAAAGCATGCTATGTAAAGGCATGATATGTAAAAGCATGCTATGTAAAGGCATGGTATGTAAAAGCATGCTATGTAAAGGCATGATATGAAAAAGCATGCTATGTAAAGGCATGATATGTAAAAGCATGCTATGTAAAAGCATGATATGTAAAAGAATGATATGAGTAAATAGCAGCGATATCACGAAAACAGAAAAATAAAAGACGCTCTGATCCAGTATAAGAGGTTGATAAGCAAGTCAGAATTACAAATTAGATTGGAAGAATGAATGGTTGATTGGAGCTTAGTTTGAAGAAAATTCCATATATCACACATACCACACAATTATATATCACTTCATATATATTTAAATTATATAAATACTCAAAACAGTTGATACATATCACAAGTTTTCTTCAAAAATCTTTACTTACTTCATCTTATTTTATATCATGAAAAAAAGACTAGCAGAAATATGATTATATATACATTTAAGCCAAATCTCATTTCAATTAAAAAAACGGAAAAATATACCTCGAAAACACTTAAATAAGAACTTACCCCCAATGAGTATGCAGAAGAAAACGAATATAGATGTTGTTGTCGCCGGCTTCACGTCCATTCTTTATCGTTAAATTCCTTATTCAATTTCCTAAGACAATAAATAATGCAGAGTTGAGTCCCGCATGTTACAGTGGAGCGGTAACTCGTCTAAATAACAGTAACCGCTTCCTCCAATACTAATTGAAAAGTATTTATTTCCGTAAAGGGCTAGGTATATTTATTAACCTCTGGGTCAATTTATTATAGATTGAAGATTATTCATACAGTTGCTTGACTTTCTATGAGATTTCAATATTATCTAACCGTACTTACTTTTCGCAATTATTGGTACAATTCGAGGAGTTCAATAGTCTTGTTTTCCAGTGTAGCAAATGATAAACGATATAGCTTAGACGTTGCACGTCATGAATTCGCCAACCTTTTTCCTGGATTTTTGCCTAAAATTGCAAATTTTCAAACGAAAATTCTATTTCTGGATTTTTCTTTCGACATGAGAGTGTTTGATTTTTCACTGCAAGATCGCTTAATTCGAACTATTGAATCGAAATAATGAAGAGCGTTGTCTTTTGACGAACTGTCCTAAATTTAAATCAATCGCATTAAAATGTTTTTTTTTTTGAGAATTGGATGATTTAAATTTCATTACCTGTTTCCAATTTTTATATTCATTCTAGGTTTGCTATGAAATGTTGAATTTTAGTAATGTGTTCATCAACGGTCCTATTTTACTCTGCTATGAAGCTCAAAAACCTTCATTCAATAATGAATTTATTTTCCAGAATAATGATTTTTAATAATTGTAAGCGTTATTAATTCCTTTTAAACCCTCCAAAATCTCTATATTTTCAATAATTCTAAAAGATATCTATTGCATACAATTAAACTTACTCTTCTAAGCAATTCAAAGCTCTTCCACTGGTTCATATTAAATATATAAGAAGCTTTCATCCCTCGTCAGCGGCAGACCTCACCGGTCACCGAATAAACCCAACAAAATCCATTATTTTGTGGCCGGCCGCTCATATCTCGTCCATAATTCAGCCGCTCATATATAGCCCATAATTCACCTGTATTCCAAGTCCCCGTCGCCTAAAATACTACAGATAATTCATATACGAAATGTTATTTAAAGTTCATTAGTTTATATATTTTTTAAGAATAAATTTTGCACTTTTATTTTAGCTTCACTAAATTGTATTTTTTTACTAACAGGGTATTTATAAATGAAGACTGACTTTTATTTGCTTTATATTTTCTTTAGGACAGGCGAGGTATAAATTCTTTAAAATAAGAAAGATTACAGATACAGCTTACAATTATCATAGTTCTACTTTATGATTGAAGATGTTTTACGAGGCAGTTGATGTTAAAATTTTCTTGTGGATTAGCGACTTAATTATATGTACTTTCCATCCTCAATTGGGATTAAACGGATAAATTTCTACTTCTGATTTTTTTCTAATTGAATGGTCCTCAAAAAAGGAAAAAATGTAACGTGAATTGCAAAACCTTAAAAAAACTTAGAAAAATCCTCAAACTAGTAACTGGTTGAAAGGCTACAAATTTAATTTTTCAGAACTGATAAATTTAGAGAATTCTGAATATATTCCTTCCAGGAATGAAAACTGCGACTTGTTAGCTCAACGACCAGAGCAAAAAATGAATATGTTTCAATTTTGCTGAGCACAACCACAAGAAATATGAAGTTTTGATTTGTTTGTGAGATCGTTTAGATTTTTTGTGTTAATGTTTGCATAACATCAACGCCCGCAGATTGTTGCTTATGAACACATGAGGTTTTCTTATGCAAAGTTGTTCTATTTCAGTGTTTACAAATTCGTACCAATTGCGAA